CAGATTGCCTTTTTCAATATTTTGATAGCGGGGTGTGCGATAGACTTACCTCCATGTGGTGCACCCTGGGCAACGTAAACTCATACGGCAAAAAAGTCTATTAACTGGCAGTTGACTTCTGGCTTCAAACTACCATCACGCCATTGCATGTCGTATTCCACCACTCCCACACTACTCACCTCGCCTTACCTTTTTCTCTACCTTTGTGTCCATCTGTCTCTTCAGCATCTGTGAATCACTTTTCTCTTCCCCCTCAACTTTTTGGGATCGATGTTCCTCCCCTCTGTGAAGCCCAAAGTCAACTTAATGGCTAATGATGACTATCACTAAGCCTGCCATTTGATATAAATAAATATTTTGATAGCCAATTGAATGATACCGCATCAGAAGCTCGCTAAAATTTAAGTGACAGTGATGTCTCGAGAAAACGAATGGTATCTATCTCTTGCTTCTAATTTCATATTAAGCCCCTTGAAGAACAAACTTGATAAAATGTGTCAATTATTCATGGATATAAAATGGATTTAGCTAGTTTTAAGAAACTCTAAATGCACCAATTTGATAAATAATATTAAAATAAGGATAAATAAATTGTAAAAAATTACTAAGCCATAAAGATGGAGCAAGTAGATAATCCGATATCTTAAATCGATTTTATTTTATAATCTTTCATCTGAAGTACAAAGAGCTTTGAATTTTCTAAAATTAACACTACTACTGATCAAAATAAGTACCTAGTGTGTATTAGAATCAGAAATGGTGTAGTTTAAGTGCACGATGTTTGCTTTGGATGGAGGCCTGAACCTGTTCAGCAAAAGCGCTCTCGTCGAACGCATACGTGTGTTGATTATGCCTTGAAAGAAGCTCTCGGAATAGTCCATCATCTTTATCGTGGCGTCGACGTTCACTAGAAGATGAAGATGATTTCACACAATCCTCTGCCAAGTCGTCCTAAAATGGAGACATTTTCATATGAAAAATAGGATTCTTCACTTGGATTAAGAACATTTCTAGGAGGTTAAAAGGATTTATTCGAGATTATTGAAAATGGTGTTGTCTTTATCATTACAGCCTTCTACTTTCCAACGGAAGGTGTTGCATCTCAAGTGCCTGCACCCTTAAACTAATTGGCCTGATCAGTTTCTTTATTCGCTGTTCACTCACTCCCTCATTGATTTACCCTAACTGCTAATGAACAAAGAGCGAAAAAATATCCAATTCCCTTATCGTATCTCACTTTTCCTACCTGCCATGATTAGGACTGATGTCTTCTTCTTACCTTAAACTTTATCTTATTGCTACTTTCCCCCTCTACCTTATAATTGCCCCATAAACCTATTATCTTACTACTCTAGATATTTTCCAGTGGCAAATACTGTTATTCTCTCGTTAGATAGAAACAAAGAGGGTATATTTTTCATTAAACTTGAGTAGAATCATTTGTATCTTATTGTCTATCTGACGAGAAGCTCATAAGCACTTTAATCAATAGGTCGTTCGTCCTATTCGACGAATGAGCTGTGCCATTCTTTAATTACACATGCAAGCACGAGGATCAATATGGGTGAATAGTGGATTAATGAGAAGCTTGGGCCTGAAAAATATTCAGCTTCATTTCTCATACTGGATGAGACTGTCAAGATGGTTGCTCCAGCTCCGATTTCTGCCCCTCAGTAACCCCCTTCCTTTAGCCTTATGATCTGCAAGCCCTTAGATCTACCATGACTTGCCAATCCTTTAGACCAGTTATAGGTTCTCTTAAATGCCTTCCCATTGGGTAGAATAGTTCAATTTAACAATTTATGAGCTAGCGAATTGTATTTAAATATTTCCCCATTTTAAATCAAATTGCTATCAAAATAAACATCTTTCCTGTTACAGACTACGATTTTGATTCGATTTATCACTCCGTCCCTTACAACACGCTTCGAGAAATACTTGAATGAAGTAAGGAACCAGTTGAATTGCAGCAACAAACTAGTTGGCAAAGAGAGTGAGTGAGTGGACACTTTATCAGTGGGAACAGAGCCTCTTCAACAAGTACTGTTGCAATTGTTCGAAAAATGAAGGGAATGTCGGTTGATAAAATTAAACAGAAATTAGTTTAGAATGGTCCTTACAACTTTAGTTAGTTGTAAAATTTGGTGATGAACTCTTAATATTAAATGCGATTTTCCATTAATTCGTACAAATTGTCCATATAAATTTAAGTACATTAATTGCGAAGCGATTTGGCTCTTTATGAGACAACTAACACCAACGCTACCAGGTTGCGTTAAATGCTGTGAATAACGTAAAATTTGAATAAATAAACAATACGGGCTGGTACCATTTCAAAATTAAAAAAAACACACTATTACGAAGTGCCCAAAAGTTTGCCATAATCTTTATCCCTAAACATGATCAACGAAGTGCTCAAATGAGGAATGGGAAGAAGTAAAAAACGCATTTTATTTTCCCTATAGTTTCTCATGACAAAGAATGATCACTCATGGATATTAATAATGAAAAAGCATTCGAGCAATTCGGTAGCCCTAGTAATGACCTCGTGCTTGGTCGAAGTGGTTTCATATAGTGGATCCACATATTCTAAGACAGAAGAACTAAGCAGATTTAAATTCATGTCAAGAAAGGAAAATGATAACCTTCACAAGGGAGCATTTCAAAGAAGATATAAGAATTCGATCCAATACTACATAATCCTCACCTTGAAGGAGTCTCAACTAATCACCTGAAGAATTCCAAAATCTGTTATTTGAATGATATTGAATTTTTATGCCCATTTCTTCTCTGAGGAGTGATTATTGTGATTGAGCCATTCGAATGTTTAATTAGTCCTTATCAGCGATGTGACTGAATAATCCATTCAAGGAATTGGCCTTAAAGACTTTTTTATTTAAATTTGCCTTGATTGTAATAGTGCTACTAGAAGGATTTTAACAGAATATTCCTGCATTTTGCAACCGTGTGAGAAATTTTTGTACAATATCAATACAAACCAACACTAGAACTAAATGAAGGTAAGTTAATAATTAAATTATAATTAATCTCATGGCAAAATCGAAAATTCCTAAATTGACAAATGTAGAAGGTAATTCCAAAATAGAAATTCACAAATTCGAAAAAACATATCTATGGCCAAGCATATTCCCTCGAGTATATTAGAGCTTCAAAACAAACCTGTAATAAACGAATGTCATAAAATTTGTTATGACCTGAACTGATAACTTATTGGAGGTTAAAAAAATAACCGATTTCAATTCATATTTTCAGGAGTTAAAGTGAGGTTAAGTGAGGGAAATCGATAGCCATTTTCCAACTTATTTCGCTTAGTACTCCAAACGCCATTTGCATTCTAGCTTGTAACAAAATCACTTCCAGGGGCTATTTCAAGCATTTTCAAAATCGCCCAAGATTTTGTTACTAGTTCATTTCAGAAAAAAATTAATTAACAACTCAGAGTTACGGAGACATTTTTATTTTAACGTTTTTTTCCTTATTTGAACAAGATGTGTGTTTTTTTCTAAAGATAAGTTGAAAGTGCGTTTCAGATATTGTGTTACAGATTGTCCAACGAGTTCTACATGGAACAATAGCATACTTAAGTTGTCTAAAGCATATTTTCCTGTTCAAGAATTACTTAAAATATGGAAGCTTTGTTTTTTAAAAAGTAAACTTAAAAGTTTTGAGAATATAATGACTAAAATATCTTCCCTTCAATTATGACACAAACATTATATTTTCAAAGAGAACCGTTGTTAATCAATCCATTTTTTTTAAGTGATACCACCAAGGCAAAATAATGCAATAAAGCTCATGACTTGTTAAATAAAAAAGTCTGAAGTTATCGAATTATTTTTTTTCCTTAAAACATGTTCAAACACCCAGTCTTACCTAAAGAAAAAGGTCATGGATAGATGATGAAATCAATAAATAGAGCAGGGAATATTAATCCTAGAAGATATCTGAATGGATCTAGGAGCGCATTATTTCTTTAGAACAAATCATGAAAAATGTCTTTTGATTAATTTCAAACTCAAATATTAACCTTAGAAGACTTAGAAATAAAATGTTACCCATATTTTAGTCCATACACATCAAGCGCTATCTTTATCAAATTATAAGTGAGTGAACGGTTTTTAGGCGATAATGAACTCAAATTATTTAGTGTCAAGTAAATTTAAACAAACTTGAGGAGATTATTGCCGCTTCTGAATTTAAATGATGCAGATATAAAACAGATAAAATCAGATAAAATTTGGGTTCAAATTCGCGAGTAAAGTTTGAATGACATGAGCATAAAACCGATCGAATCAAACCGAATGAAGCTATTCACAACAATTTACGGGATTATATCAGAAAGACCCCTTTCGTACAATTAAAAGCGTTCTCGATACTCCTCCACTTCAATAGAAGATTAAGTATAATTTTGACAAATCTTTCAACACATTTTTAGCACCACATTAATTTAACTTGAATGAAATCTAGTAAGCTCTGCTCTATTTGAAAAAAATTTACTGATCTGATTTATCTGATCATTACTCTAAAATACAAATATATCAATACAAATTGGTTAAAACAATCAACTATGCAGTAGGCCCTGAAAAGAATGAACATGAACTCACAAAGGAAATAGTGCTCGAAAACAGAGGGTTTTTTAAGTGAATTGTTCCCCTTATGCAAGAACGAAAAAAATAAGTGCTTTCAAAACTCTCCAACAAAATGAGGTTCTTAACATTTATGCATGGATCTATGCTTAAGTTTGATTTCCACTTTATTCATTTTTGTGCTAATAGCATGTTAAAGCTCAATACTAACCAACTCAAGACAATATCTACAATGTTAAATTAAATAAAAATTAGGATCGAAGTAGATTTAAAGGATGGTTGTACGATTACGGAAGTTAATTTTTAGCCAACCTCTATGAAACTACGTCGATCTTCCGTATTTATGCTCCTACTACTCGATTCTCTACCCGCAGTGACTAGTACCTTTATCGATTTGCCTTTTCTTCTAAACGATCCCTTTTCATTTAAAAGTACACTGCACTCCTAATCGCCCAATTACCAATATTGATGCCGATACATTTGTCCTTTATCTACCAGTCTGTAAATTTTCCCCATAAAATACTTTAAATTTTCATAAACATAGATGAGGCTCACTAAGAATACGTTACTTGAAAAAATTGTCTATTTTTTGAGATTTGAGCAAATCCTGTTAAGCGAATAATTTTTATGTACGAATACTGAAGTGGAAACAAACAAAATTTCAACTTATTTCCTAGATTAATTGTACTCAAACCACTGAGAAATAGTCTTATCCTTCAAACTAAGTCCCGTAAATTCTGATTCTTTACGTGTTTTAGCATAAATTAAACAGTATTTTGCTTTTTTATAAGGATGCTCACCAAGGAAGCGGAATCTGAATCTGAAGATACCAAATCATATCCACAGCAATTTCTCTTCCTCCTTCTCGGTACGGTTGTTATTGAATGGCTTGGTTCCCAATTCTCACTTTTTGGAAATAAATTACTTTCAATATTGTGCACAACTTCCGGGCTGGAATCAGAAATCATACTATCTTTGGGTGCTTCAGATGAGTGGTCATGTTGTTGGTGGTGGTTTGAATCCAAGCCTGAATCGGTGATAAGTTGAATGTGGTGTAAGTGTACATTATGCAACGGTTTTAGAAGGCGGCCAGTCTCATTATGTGGAATGGAGTTCTGTTGTTGATAGTAGAAGGCTTTCTTCAATTGTGGACGTAAACGACGGAGATGAAAGTGGACCGAGTGACGATCTTTGGCAACGGAAGCGTGGTGAAGGGCAAGAGCAATGTCTGCATAAACGTCTGTGATTTCATTGTGCTCTCGGGGGTCACGAAGCAAAAGCGGACGAAGGTACCTATAGAGGTAATAACTGCGTCAATAAACTTTGTACTATGGGTGAGAACTCTAATAAAACGTGTTACCGGATATGTTTTGTTCCATAAATTTGTCAATACTGCATGACTATTAAACCGGATACAAGCGCAGGTCTTGATTCAACGAAACTGCTACCTGATGTTGAAAGTAGAATATATCTTGGTTGAATACCTCCAGATAAGTATTTTAGCTTAAGATCAGGCATCCAGAATCAACAGTGTTCGTTTCTGACGTTGCCTTATTTTATCCTCCTTTATTCTATGATACGACAACTAACTCACCATTTCAGATAATTAAATAGACTCAAAATTAGCTACACAATTAACCGAAATATAACTGCATCAATAGTATATTGGAGCTAATTTATTCCTCATCTGAGTAATTTTTTATTTCATGCTAATTTTAATGGGGTTCGAAAATTCTGACCTCTGAATGATGCAAAGTTAGAAAGTATTCCACACTTTTCATCCACCAGTATCTTCCTTCGTGTTAAATAAATGCAAAGGTTTATTTGTCTCCTTAGCTGAAAACTTCTCCGAGAATACTAAATACACTTCAGCTTTCAAAGTTTGGCTGGTTACTAAAATGGATTAGAATTTAAAGCGAATTGCTACACGAGAATAAGCCATGACGTATCCTCAGTTATCCATATGGGGAAATATCCTAGTATTGAAAGGCTCCCGGAATCAGTTAAACCTATCACCATGTGATGAAAGAAATAGGCGTATAACGAGTATGGGGTTTTGGCTTTCTCCTCTTAGCCTCTGGATGCATTTAACATAACTTCGATGAGCCTTAATACCCGACTAGCTGAGAAGTTCTCTGCACTAACGGCCTCACCCTCCAGAATGCTGGGGTGTGCAGTTTAATCGTATTAGGAAGGCATACTCCACGCACTTAATTTATAATTGCCTGCAGAAGATTAGGCATTATTACGCATTTGAATAAGTGCTCTAATTTGGAAGTGGTATTTTTGGAAATAAATTCACAATAACTAAAATTCAGATCAATCATGAATAATGCCGAAATTGACGTCTAATCAGCAATTGAATAAATTTTATGGCAATTATTCCGCAGTAATTAATCTATTTACGATTCCAAAACAGATGATGGAGTACTTAGTTGAATGCAGTTATCTTTCCCATAGCTTCGCTTAAATTTATTTAACAAAACTAGATAACACCCAAAAGTAACGTAAAAATGAAATAAATCCCTTCGTGAACATCTAACATCTCAAATGCTATCCATTTTTTCTGAATTCTGAGTTCGATTTTCAGTACTCATTTTAGAAATATAAAAATGAAGACCTATTGTTAGAGCTAATAATTTCTAATTGCTCCTTTATTGTATTACTTTAGATTGTAAAAGAATTTTGTTAATGGCAAGCTATAACCTCCAGTCTCGTAAGTAAATATAAATATATGACAAAGTATTCTCTCAAAAACTGCTAAAAAATCAAAGACTGGGACTTTTTTATTGCCAGGACATTTTCATCAGCATGAGAAAAGACTAAAGGCATAAATAACACAGCTACTAAACATTTACCAAAATTAAGATAATTTTAGCTCTCAGATATGAAACTTATTTTTTATTCCTGAGTTCATTCTGAGCTTTATCTAGAGTAGAGTGTTACTATGGTGGAGCCTTCTTATTGAAAACTCGGAACTCAGTTCACCTATCTTAATTTTCTTAAGAGTAGCCATACTGATACGGCTCAATTCGTATACAAATAATGTAATGCGGTTATAGGTTTCCACCACAACCAGATAAATCTTGACATTATTTTGACAAGAATATAGAAAATCACTTTATAGTTTGCAAAAATGCAATGATAGTTTGAGGGTTCAGTGCTTGGCCAAAAACTATTATGTTTGACTATGAATAGCTAATATATTTAAATTAGGGATATTGACCTTTGCAAAAGTTGAGAGGTATTTTTTCTAAACTAACGAAGGATGCCAAATCCACAACAGCATTACCGTATCTAGATATCCCATATTCTGCTTGCTCAGTGCAGGCACCATCTTTCTTCCCTTCCAATTCCAAATTCCCCTACTTTTTCTTCCAATGATTTAAAGTTGAACAATCTACACATGCCTACACCTAAATTTTGGCCATATCATTTGGCTAAGACCGGTAGATCCTGTCAACCTATTGGAAACCAGTTGTCTTGAGAGCTTACTCAGTTTTATTTCGTTGAGCTCTTAAATAGGCTCTACTTTCAGGGTAAATGCTAGTTTATATCGATATTTTTCATCATGAAACGTACTTATACATTTTGTCAACTTATGATTAAAATCTTTAAAAAAAGTAATACAAACCTTTTATAAAACTTGACAAACGCTGTTCTCATTATTCCATGATTATGTCCCACCACATCGGCTATTGCGTTGCATGCCGACTGAATGACTCGATCATTAAGTGTCTCAAACAGACTCAATTTCCCAGTCTCCGATGAGAGAAACTCGTAAATTCTCAGTAGAGGCGTCATTGTGAGTCCAATAAAGAGAACGTAGAAGAGATTAATGAACACTACGGTGCATCGTAGGATTGACAAGGGGATTCCTATAGCTAGAGCAGTTTTTGGAGAGATTATCTCAACCAGGGCGTGAGCGACACTACCTTTGAATCCGCCATAGGATATGAAGAACATCATTCCTATGGAGATTTTCTGCCTTGTCCAGAGGAAATAATTGTTAAGAAATGAGGCTATGAAAATGAAGACAAACCTCCAGAATATGCTGAAAAATGTTGTCCAGACGATAAATCCTGTATGCCAGACAATCTCATGGGTTGCTATAGAAAAGCCGACATAGAGAAAAATTAATGAATCAGCAACTGCACCAGTCATTTGAGCAAAATGTTGGATCGTAATTACGGATTTATGGGAAATATTTTGAAATGTGAATGAAGAAAGGATGGTGCAGAAGAAAATAAGATAAAATGTGGCCGGCCAGGAACAAATATAAGTAATTATGTAACCGGTATAGCAAAGACAGAAAACTATAACAGGCTCCAGTGTCGTTTCATGTGTTGTCCATCTGGTCACAATGCTTGATATACAGCCAAAAATAAGTCCCGTTATTATTGAAAACATTAACTGAAGAGAAAATGAGAAGAGAACAAGACAGAGCCATGGCAAGACGCCCAGGTTTTCGACGCAATCGATATGCGAGTTTGCTGCATTATTGGTCATTCCAAATAAGCTTAAAGACACTCCATCATTAACTAAAGACTCACCAACAAAGAGGAGATAAAGAAATGGATGAACTTTTAACTTTCCAAGAAGACCAAAGACAATAACAAGATCGGTGGAACAAATAAGACTCGAAAATAGAGCAAAAGCGATTGGTTTAACATTATGGTCTTTCATTCCCATAAGACCAAACTCGTGGACAAGCCACAGGCTCAAAGCAGTAATGATGAAGTTAAAGAATGAACCGATAAGTCCGAAAACAACAGTTGCAGGAAGAATTCCATATTTGAAAATCTGTTTAAACTGTAGAGCTGCATTTATTGCAAGTGGTGGATAAAGAACTCCAAAGAACATAAATTCATTGAAAAAGTTTAATTCACAATGGGAGACTTTTGATAAGTATCCAAAACTAATTCCAAACAAAAGTAGAACAGCTGGTTTTGGTATAATGACATTTAATTTTTTCCATTTCGCGTAAAAAACTTCCGTAGTGCAAAATACAAAAAGAAAGGTGATTGCAAACAAGAGAATTTTAGCATGTTCCCATTGATTGGAAGGCCAAAAATTAGATTTGAATATATGCAAAGCGTTATTGAACGGACCATCAACCATTTCCTAAACGCAAGCATACATTACCGTGTTAATTGTGCAAAACAAACTTGCCTTTGCAATGAGTTATCAATATTGAAAAATTAATAATTCTACATCTACTTAACAAAATAATTACTACGTTTAGCTATTTTTCTAACAGTACAGGTCAATGTTGAATAAACAATTATTTTTCTCGTATGTAGGTTTAAATTTCATCACAGTACACGGAAAAGCAATATCGTTTATAAAACTGGAGCTTGTAATTAGGTGATTGTTATCAAATGTATTTCAGCAACAATTATATATACTATGGGTATTGATTACTTTAAAATAAATGCACCATAAACTTATTTTCATAACCGTTACTTACAAGCCGTTAGAAGTTATTTTGTTAGAAGAGTTAACTGCCACACAAACTAAGTTTATAATATGCTAATTGTATGATCTTCAAAATAGTTTTACTAACGAGTTTTAACGTATTTGTCGCCTATCAATATCAGTTATGTTAATATTAATGCTAAAGTAGAAAGTGAGTGTGGTTATCTTTAATTTTCTTTTAAGTTGGAGATAGTATTTGAAAGCCACATGTCTCAAATTGAACTATTCTCCTGAATTATATCTACAAATTTTCATATCTTTGCGAGCATTACCTTTAGAACACAAGGCTTTTCCTGCTTTTTGTTAAGACGTACAACTGAAAAGGTGTTAGTCGCAATCAATCTCAAACTATTATCAACTCATTCAAACTGGCAATACACTTGTCATTTACCAGTGCATAAGGCGAAGCTGAAATAATGAATGCTTAATCACTAATATTTTTCATTTCGTGGACCATAAAAAATACGCCTCAACTACTTTGGAGTGAATACCACATAACTAAGCATTTAATAAACATCCCATTTTCCAGGCCAAATCCCTAAGTATAAAATCGTTCCCTAATTCAGATAGCCTGCGTTTAAATAAACATCAAGTGAGAAGTGTTTATTATGGCTTATTTACCTGTTACTACACAGCTTAGTCGCTGAAAAGCAGTCAGTTCTAGTCTATGTTGCAGTGACCATTGAATGAAAGCTGACTGAAGGGTAATTGCATGAAATTGAGTTTTTGTTTTAACAAGTCTCGCCTTTCTGTCAGCCTACAAAATTGGTAGTTCAATGAAGAGGTAAATCCTACCTTATAAACAAAGTAACCGTTAGAGCTTAAGAAAACACTTATTTATTTATTTCCTGCTTAAGTAAGCCCATTGGTGATCGCTTCTACCTACCACCTTGACAAACGTCTTAAAATGGTCAGTGCGTCATTAATGTGCAAATTTTGGTGAATTATGGTTAGCTTTTTGTTCTACTTAAAATACTTGTCTAAATTCTCCTATTTTGAATGCAACCATCTAATACATGATTAAACAATATAATTCTACTTATTTGAAAATGAGTAGAAATGCACTTTCAATCACGGTTTCAAAAAAAGCATTTATTTATTTCAAATGGTAGGCGTTTTGACTGTTATCATTAGTCCTTTAGCTGACTTCGGGCTTCAGAGAGGAGAGAAATACCAAAGTGAGAAGAATTGGAGAGGGAAACAGAAGAGTGAATCACGGTTGTAAAAGAGACAGACAGACACAAAGGCAAATAAAAGGCAAGATGAGTACTGTTGAAGTGGTCGAATATGACATACATTGGGGTCATGGTAGTTTGAAGTCAGAAGTCAACTGCCAGTTTATAGACATTTTTGACGTATGAGAATACTTTGTCCAGGGTGCACCACGTGGAGGTAAGTCTATCACTCACCCTTTGGGCGAATATATATGATGTTTAAAGCACAATTTCATCTTTAGCTTATAAAGCATTACACCTATACAGTGATTAAGTTTACTTCATTGCCATTATCAGTGAATTAGTAAAGCATTCGTCACAAATCACTAGTTAGAATTTATTAGCATAACATTTGATCGATAAAATTATTTGCTCTATTTAATATTACATATCTCTCTAGTGTGGTGGATGTTACTCCAATAAGCCCCCTGACTAAATCTCAGTAATCTCTATGTCAAAATCTCCATGCATGAAATTGTTCTCGAAATCGACTGTTGATTGTATGTATGTTGAGAGATCTCTGTATGAGACTCCTTAGTGTACTCTACACTTTAAGTACTTTATTCTATATTCCAGGGATTTCTGACTTTTAATTATAGATAGATATTTGGCCATTGCTTTATGTCTGTTTGATTAGCAACTTGCATTAAATGCATCTTCAGTGAATCGTCAATCTCCATTTCAATCCAATGAAACTACGCCTTACCTCCTGATAGCTCATATTTATCGTCTTAAATAATGTTCTTTCACTTCGATTCTTCTTTGCAAAACTCTATTCAAAATGCAAACTGTGTTTTTGTAACCCAAGTGGATCTTAATCTTTCCCTTGTTGTAGCAGAGTTGTAGACTTGGCGTTGTTGGACTTCACAGAGGATTATTAAAATTTGGTCAAGGCGTATATTCTAAATGATATTAATCACAAACTACATTTATATTCTACAAAACTTCCATCTACATTATTTTTCAATGACTACTTTGATTTCAGAGCAACTTCCTTTTGAACTTAGCTCGATTGGCTTTTAAACCACTTCATTAAAATGAAAATATGAAATATTTTCAAACAAAAGCCCTGGAAACGGAAGTTTACTTCACGAAAGTTATCCAGTAGTTATGGCACCGTATTGCGTGCACGAAAACTTTTTAATATGGGATGCTTTAATTGAATTAGGCATGCGTGTGAACTGTTACATCCATCGTAATAGCATTAATTTCGAAAAAAAATAAATTTTGAACTCTGTAGAAGCAGAAGTGATGACGATAGAAGCTGAAGATTTAATAGCAATAACAATAAGAATAATAATAAAATTGAATAGAGGGGATCGCGATAGACTTACCTGGGAAACGTATGCTTATACACCAAAATGTCTATAAACTGGCAGTTGACTACTGACTCCAAACTACCATGACCCCACTATATGTCACATTCGATCACTTACACAGTACTCACTTTACCTTTTTCACTATATTTATTTATTTATCTATTTCAAATGGCAGGCGTTTTGGTAGTTATCACTGGCCCTTTAGCTGACTTTGGGGCTTTACAGAGAGGAGGAGGAACATCAAAGTGACAAAAAGTCGAGAGTGAGAGGAGGAGGAACATCAAAGTGACAAAAAGTCGAGAGGTGGAAAAAAGAAGAGAGATTCACAGATGTAAAAGAGAGAGAGACAAAAAGTCAGAGAAAAGGTAAGATGAGTACTGTGATGGTGGTAGAAAATGACGTACAGTAGGGCTGAAGTCAGAAGTCAACTGCAGGCTAATAGACTTTTTACCGTATGAGTATACGTTGCCCAGGGTGCACCACGTGGAGGTAAGTCTACCCCACACTCCTTTTTCACTTCATTTGTGTCTGCATCTCCTACATCTGCGAATAACACTTCAGTTCTCCCTCTCTCTCTCTCGACTATTTGTAGCTTTGATTATCCTCTCCTCAGTGAAGCCCGAAGTCAACTAAAGGGCTTATGATAAATTTGATATAAATAAATATTGGATAGAATAGGGATGAAAAAAATAGAAAATAATAAGAAATAATGCCTGGGATTTTGGAAGAGGAATTTTCTGGTTTCTTTGAAAAATTTTGGGGCAAAAAAGTTGATTTTCTTGTTAAGATAATTTTAGGAAATGTGCTTTAATCTCCTCCAATACTTGGAATACTGGAAGGATTGATGTGAGGTCACCAATTTCCCATCCTATTCTTTTAATCAATTAGCTTTACAATGGGGATGCATGTTTCTGCGATGAATCTTCCATGGCTAGTCAGGAATCTCATTCAATGAAGATTTTTAAAGCATCAAAATGCTTAGGCCGTCCAATTTAAATCTTTTGAACTAAGATTGAACGCGAAGCACTTGATTCCATGTGCACCAGTGACAGAGTACCTACCGTGCTCACCCTCGAATTCAGTGGCCTTGGAATTGAAATCGACGGCGTACACCAAGAGAGTGGAATAGGGGAGAAGGTTTCAGACTCCTTACTTTAAAGAGTAAAATTGGGTAGTTAGAGCAGAAAAAAAGTCCCTCACACTGGACTAATACAACAAAACAATTGAGGGTCATTTTTGAGGAAGAGAAAAGCACTGATATCCGAAGTGGGGGCGACTCTCAATTTAAGATCGGTATGAATTTGGGGATAATAAGAAATGGTTATTTTACCCCCTCCCCCCCCCCCACCCCCTCCCCTGGGAACTCCATTTATACCCATTCAATCACTTTCCATACTCTTTTTTGCCGTGTGTATTGATTATTGAACTTCTGGATTCACCCAACGTAGCTGCCTTCCTTCACCCCCCCCTTAAAGTAAACATATTTCAGTTTTTACCACGACACTGTGTCAAAGTTAGAACAGAGCTTGGTATTGAATCGCAGTCTTTGTTTCGTTCCTTGGAAGTTTTAAATTGGCACTTTGCGTGTTCCTTTATTATTTACTGTAAAATGTCTATCAAAGACAAACTGGAAAATGTTAATTTAAAGACATTTGACCTAAAGGGAACCAACAGGGAACTGCAATAATCGATTGAGTGACAAGACGAGCTCATTGCACAACAATGGCTCTCAACCCCCCACCCGTCACCCACCCAAGACTGAATATGGTTGGTTTTTCACATCGGAAACAACTCAATCAAAATATAACCAAGCAAATTAATTACATTAATTAATTTATGGCTATTTCGACATCGTGTTTTCTAACCGAACTCTTTAAAGCTAATGCAGTTGAATTTAAATTACTTATTTAATAAATTACCAAAGTCTTTGTAATCGATAGTTAGTGAAAGGAAAATTTGGGCATCGATGTCAGAATAAAAATTTTCTTCCAATCTTTACAGAATAGAACGATTGAAACTGAGTTTACTTGAGTTTTTAAAACCAATACTGTTTTCTTAGTCAAACCTTATAATGAAAAAAACAAAAAATTATTTTAAAAAAGAGGATGCATTGAAAACAAAATATTTTGACATTCGTTTTGATATTGGACTTCCATTTGACTTTTGATAATTAATTCTCAGTACACGAAATTGAAACTGAAAGTATTTGAAAGCTTCCTCGTAACTATCCACTTTGCGAATTCCAAGTTTTATAAAATCGTTAGATAATGTTAATAGGATTATGTAAATTTTTTTTGTAAAATTCGAATCTTTTCCAACTCAATAAATGAAGTTCAGTGCAACCGGTACACCCGTTTTAAACGAATGAGGGAGCCCACTGCCATTTCCAACGCATACTCTCCTCCTTCGGCCAATCAGAAGAGAGCAGACTCAAACAGGAAATGTCCGTTGGAAGTGCGGGAGGGGGAGGTGTGGGGCTGTTCAGCCTATCAGAAGCACCATCTGAGCCCGCAGAAGCAGCGGAAATGAGTATGTGAGGAGGAGAAGGGTGCTACCGATTGTTTTGAATGCCCAGCCACTCGTATTTCCTGAAACACAGGAAAGGTTAAACCCTGTTGAATTAAAATTCACCCCTTCCCCCCGCCCTCCTTACCAAGTGCGGTCGTGCATGCTTTATTGAGGGTAGAAAGTATTATTAATTCTAACCGGACGCTGGTTGTCAACATACGCACGCACACATACACACACTCAGTGAGCTGCCTAATAGATTTTGTTCGCTTCTCTCCCACAGAAGTTCAATTTTCGCATTTCCTTCCGTAGTAGAAGCAACTGTGTGTTGTTTAATCAGAAGTTAATGCGCACAGAGTGAAGTATCTACCCGTCAGAAGTCATACGGTTCCGTTGCGTTGTGTGCAGGCCATTATTACTCGACGACAAGTTGTAGTCAGCCGGTGCGAACTAACTCCGGACATCCCTTTCCGTTAATCTGCACTCAAAGATACACTCACTGCCTGCTTATTCATACAGGAAGACGCAGAAAGACTTGATCTTGTTCAGGCGCAATAAATCGCTCTGTTGACCGTTGCTGTAGTTGAGTATTTCCTTCCGCAGATAGCTGAAAAGACAGGGAGTGGGTGGGGAGAGAAGTAGAATACAGGAAATCCCCTTGAGTAGTACCCCGACATTCATATTCAACGGAAACAAGTAACTATGGTCAGTAGACCCGATTTCCTATTCTTGATTTTGTGTTGTTATCGATGATAATAATAACCCGGTCCACATTTAACATTTCAGGAAGAGCGTGGAAGTGGAAATGGACTCGTGTACTCAAGCGCAAATGAAACTGCAACCACTGGAAGTCCTGAAAGTAGAGGCAAGTATGCCCTTCCAGAGTACTTTGTTCACTCGACTGAGATCACTACTGGTGTGTATCAATCTTCCACGTCGTATTCATCGAGTTCTGATGGAGCCCAAGTGTTTTATGACCATGATCCAAGAAGTAGTGCTTACTCGAATCTTATCCGTCAGCAGAATACATCTGGAAATGGTTATTGGGGTGAGAATGAACATTATCAGTCTGGAGGATACCATTTTGATGGAGGGCCTGGGTACCACTTTGGATGTACTTATGGATACCCTTCCACATCCGGAGTGACAAGTGCAGGAGCCTATCATTCCACAAATCACGGAACCTGGCCAAGTGTCGGATATCAATACAGCCGACATGGTTCCGGTGGTGGAATACAGTCGTCAATGTTTTACAATTCGAGAATAAAGCGAATGAGGACCACCCAAGGGAGTTTGGAAGGCCAAGTGGGTGAGAGGGGAAAGAGCTACGGTTCACCTCCACCCCAACCGCAGCCTCCACAAGCAAATCCTTTGAACTTGAACTCTGGATGTGTGTCACAAGTATCGCCCACTGTCCAGTGGAGACCACAAGGTAAGTTGAAATAAATAATATCTTTCTGCTTTTTTAAGTTAAAACGAAACCTTAATCCCGTTTATTAGCAATACTAATAAATCTCCCAAAGTCCTATTAATTAGTTAGTTCAAATAATTACCCATAACTGATACACATTCTCTCCATTTGATCGATAAAAATGATTTTTTGGTTAAGTAAATTCGACTCGACCTTGATAATGTAAGGTTTAAAGGGGTGAATAAAGGCCTATTTTCTAGAAAAGCAAGGAGTTCACAGGAATTAATTTGAAATTCGCTACTGGAAATTTATTTATTTATTTATATCAAATGGCAGGCGTTTTGATGGTTATCATTAGCCCTTTGGTTGACTTCAGGCTACACAGAGGGGAAGAAACATCAAATTGAAAAAGTCGAGAGGGGGGGGGAACAGAAGAGTGTTTCAAAGATGCAAGAGACAAACACAAAGGTTGAACAAAGGTGAGGTGAGTACTGTGAAATATTCGAATATGGCATCGAGTGGGGTGATGGTAGTTTGAAGTGAGAAGTCAACTGCCAGTCAATAGAATTTTTTGCCGTATGAATAAACGTTGCCCAGGGTGCACCACGTGGAGGCATGTCTATCACACACCCCGCTATCGGAAATTACTTCTCGTAACAATTACATTGGTGTTCAAAAAATGGCAGTTTGCATTCACCCATATTTGCATCCTGACATGAATGACAAACCACGTCTAACGTATTTGATTGCCGAAGAAGAGGCAAATCACAAGTGCTAAATTTTTACGCTTAGTTGAGGTAACAGAAGTAATAGACTACAAGTAAGGGGCGAGCCTTTATTACAACTCACGTAAGATATGAAAACTCAATTGTCCTTTGCGGGGACAACTGTTGTGTCCTATTGTAGTAAGTTCCACTAAGAAGTCCAAAATTATTGATTCAGAAGGCAAAATTTCCGGGCAATTTTATTTCTTCTTCTGTTAATTGATAATTCGTTTCCAGACATCACGCTTTTACAAAAAAATGGCATATTGAAACAACAGAATGAAATGGTGTTCAAATTGTTCCTTTAAAATGATCTTTTTAATATTTTTTATTAAACAGGATTATAATAGAAACTTTAAAAAAATGTTCATATAGAGTAAACAACCTTAACACGATTGAACTGAGCAATCTCGCTCACGTGGGAGAGTTCTGGAACGTGCAGAAAGCTGCCAATCATGTTAGGGAGCAAAGAAGGTTACGAATGAAGTGACCACCCAGCGGATCGATAATCAATAGTCACTCCAGGATCAACGTACCCAAATGCCAATTTAATAACTAAGCTGTGTAGTGCTGGCGTCATGAATATAATCATAAACTTCATGACCACAATTAACCATTTTCACGTAATGGGTTCAATGTCCTCAAAGCTGTATCTGGATAGAAGGTAAATTCAGTAAGCAATAGTGAGTTGGATATGGGTGGGGCTAGGTTAGAGAAAATGATGAGAATATAATCAATCACAAAGAAGTCCTTTTTCGTTTGATGTTTGGATTTCAGTTATATGCCTTTTAATTACTGGGTAATTCACAGACATACTTCCAGAAATTCTACCTTCGTCAATCTATCCTAGGGAATACCAATGAAATTCTTGACCACACGTCCGACGATAATTGACATTTCGATTAACTTCGATGGTCTTACTACGTCAATTAACATTGTTCTTTCAAAGTTCAAGAAATCCATCGTGCTTTGACGTTCAAGTATTCAAAGCTAATTGACTCAACTGACTAACTGGCTAGCTTTGCGTTGGTGGAGCTACCTGCACGTCTGTCATGTCAGACGGTCTAATTATCATCGGGGCACAGCAAGTAATTCTGACTTGCATTTAAGGTGGCAGAATTTGAATCGATCACTACAGAGAGGCTTCGCGGTGTAAGGGCTTGGAAATTATTACCATTGACTGTCTGAGTAAATTTGCCTCCTCTTCTAATAATCGCGATGAGTTTGTTTAAATTAACCTAACGTCTGTTAAGTTTTTGTGATTTGTTGAAGTGAAAGTACTCAGTGGCAGTATGAGTATTTCATTGCAAAAAAATTGCCCAGATGTACAAATTGATGAAAAATCTGTGGTTTTCGGTCTTTTTCCCCACGTTTCCACTTTTAGCTCTAGCAGCATTATATATTCTCACCACAAGAGTGAGAATAATTTAACCGCATGTACCCGCATTAGCTTACTCTATCGATCAAGGGGCAAGCAATCAAAAAGCTCCCCACTTCTGAATAAGCAGGTTTTTCCTTCCCCCCCCTTTGCTTCCAATCTTCAAGCATCAGGCATCAGTAGATTTCCCACCCTTTTGCAAGTAATTCCATGCATAGGGGGGGGGAGGGGGAGGGTGAGGGTGAGGTGGGGGGGGGGGGAATCGGGCCAGTCATTTCCTGCTTTCCATCCCGCATAAAGTCGGGAAATCAAATCTCCCCTTTCCATGCCCATTCCCCCTCCCCACTCTCCCACTCTCCCCCTCTCCCCTTGATTTTGAGCACACGTGGGCATGTGAGTTTGAGTACCCCGATAGGAAGTGAGGTAGGGGAAATGCAAAAAGAATCCACTGGCAGCCACCACCATTTTCCCGCACAATGAGTACCCAATGTACAACGTAATAGTCGCATGACCCCTTTGTAAACCTGCATTTTCGGGTTAATGCTTCCAGTAATAGAGCTAAATTGATGCCAAATCCTACCCACCCGCATCATGCAAGAACCGGGCTTGCCATTAAAAGGCATTGATAAAAAATATGTTGGACAGTTTTGTTCAGGGTGATTTAGCATGAGGGTTTTCACATAGTGCATTTGGTAATGTACGATGGGTTGTGGCCAAAATAGAATACCCTAATTAATGTCATTTATTTATTTGCAACCATTTTAGGCTCAGGGCAAATTCAACTCTGGCAATTTCTCTTGGAACTTCTGGCAGATAGTAGAAACCTCGCGTGTATAACTTGGGAGGGGACGAACGGTGAATTCAAGTTGGTTAATCCAGATGATGTGGCCAGGAGATGGGGAGAGCGTAAATCGAAACCGAATATGAACTATGACAAACTGAGTCGTGCATTGCGTTACTATTACGACAAGAACATAATGAGCAAAGTAAGTGGACAGTAGAGTTGACCGCTAATAATCTTTGAAAACAGACCTTTAAAAGCCATTGGAATGTTAAGTTGAAATTCACACTTTAATCCTCACCAAATAATTTGCTTGATCATTAGTTCAATTCAGAAACCATAGGAGCAAAACATTTTTTTAATATTACAATTAGCTTGAAACATGACTACCCAATCGATTTCAGTGAAATTGAGCGAAATTGGTTTGCCTTGTAGACAAATAGAATTACATTATTATTTTTTCCTTACGAAACATCTTTTCATCATTTTTCTATATATTTCTCCAGTTATCTAACCTAAAAATGATCAATTAAGCACTTAAAAAACTTTGTGAATGCCATAAATGGCTATAAATAACGATTTATGACTTAGAGAATACAAGTAAAATGGTGTTGGATTTGCAGTATACTTTCATAAAGGTATTTAAAGTAAATCTGAATAGTTTTCTTTTAAAGCTGATTAAATAAAACAGGTTTTCTTCCTAAAAAAACATTGCATGAATATAAGAAATCAATGCCAAAAGCAACGCCCAGTAGTCCAGCTCGTTCATTTATTGGTTAATAAATTTGCGCCTCCTGTTCTTCTCTCAGCGTTGATTGGTTAGCTGACCGGAAACTGCGAGTTGATGTTTAACTCCCCCGTTAAAGCGACAAGCTGAGAGGCCGTTTCCCCATTCCAGAAGCTATTAAAAAGTGGTAAAATGATGGGCTGATTCATGACAAATATTAATTTTTATTTCTGTTATTGTATTGTATTTTCGGACAGAATTAGGTTCGTTGAAAATTACTGTCAACACATTAATTGACTTTTGCTTTATCTAACTAGAGTAAAAAATCGCTCTTGATGTTCATCTAGAAGAGGAAAATTGTCAATTTTTCACAATAATGTCATATTCCTAAGAAGATAAGTTTGGTCGTGATTTAAAACGTGGAATTTGTCACTTTTGCAGAGGATTTACTGGGAGGGAGGTGCGGGTGGGGGGAGGGGTGCATGGCAGGACATAGGTTCGTTATAAACTGAACAATTAGGATTTCTTAGAACTGATGAAAAAGGCATTGCTTTTATCTACACAAATTTTTAAGGTTTATTTAATAACACCACTTCTCCCATTGGTGGCACAGTTCCACTGTCTGTTGAAGTCACGAAAAAGTCACCTTTATAGATTAGTTTTACATGGATAACTTATAAATATCACCGTCTGTTAATTTATTAACAAACATCTTTATTTCATCTCCAGGTACATGGGAAGCGCTATGCTTACAAATTCGATTTTACCGGCCTCGCACAAGCGATGCAACCCTCTTCAGCCTGCGATGCTCCAACTTCAAACGCTGCAACTTCCTTTCCACTAGGTCTCACATCCACGTTTCCCCGAGGCATCATTGAACACCCCCCAAATGGACCCAGTTTTCCCCGCGAAGCGTCACCTGAAGTGGATCAAAGTCGAAAAACCCCCAATGCTTGCTTGAAACGTCCTAGAGAACGCAATCCACCACCGCAACCGCGGCGCGATTTCGAGAACTTCGATATGAAACAGCAGCAGCAACAACAACAACAACAACAGTTTCAATATAAAAATGGAAGCTATCCGACTTCTCAACAATTTCTTGCTGCCGCAGCAGCTTGTTTCATTCCCGAAACGCACCACAACCAGAATTCCGGACACACTACAGGGTGCTATGAAAGCACCGATGGTTATGTGAGTCAAAGTCAACAGAGTGGTTGTTATGGCAGCCACCATCATCACCAACATCAACATAATCATCACTCACCTGAGTCGGCAGCTGGATCGACCAATTATTGCCAGCAGCCTGCGAACCCCTTTATGATGATCTCGGCGGGTTATAATGTGGAGAGTTTAACCAATAGAAATAGTGGTGTGGTTGTGTCGGAGGCCAACGGACAGGCACCAAAATGAACGATTGATTGCTTTCTCTAATCGGTGTTTTTATTTATTATTATGGCAATAAATGATCTGTACTTACCTGG